CCACACATCTGAAAGCTGTCAAAGTTGAGATATACTGGACTAGAAGATCTAAGTCCTTCCAATCTGATGATTCTGTGACCCTACCATGCTGAGGAGCAGTGAAGAAGTGGGCCTCTTTAGTGGTAACCCCAAAAGTTTGAATGCCCTCTCCAGCAAGGTACATCCGGTACCATCTTAATCCTCTTTTCAGTGCCAAAGACATGTTTATTCTCCTGGGCCCTTAAATGGGTCCACACACATGCAGTTATGGTATCGTTAACATCCTTACTGCTGCTTTTATCCCCCACATTACTGTTTCGTTGTCTATTGCATTGTTCATTTTGTATATTGGAGATGTTTTAAGGTAGGCTTGGTAGCCATTATCTTAACTGAATGGTTGTGTTGAGTTTCCTTGGAAAGCACTTGGTGTAACGGTATGTGGGAATAACCTCGGGAGACAGGAGGAAGAGCCATAGACTAGACAACAGCCGGATAAGCGGCAGCTGAGCCCGCAGAAGGAATGGGGGCGGGGCGAGCGTCTCAGAAGGGACCCTCCCTAGTTTCTTGGGCTGCAAAGGTGATGGGGGAGAAATGTCCTTTCAGACTTGCAAGCCTTGCAAGATTGTCCAGACAAGAAGCACGCCCAGAACTAGTAGTTCTATTGTAAGATTACATGAACAGAATCTTGCCAGTCTGAAAGGACATTTCTCCCCCGTCACCTTTGCAGCCCAAGAAACTAGGGAGAGTCCCTTCTGAGATGTTTGGCATGCCCCCATCCCTCGTTCAGGCTCGGATATTGTTTATCAAACTGTTGTCTAGTCTGCGGCTCTTCCTCCTGTCTTCCAAGGTCATTCGCACAGGCCATTACAAGAGCAGACCTTGCGTGTGACCTTCCTGTGAGTCCAGGAAACTAGGGAGGGTCCCTTCTGAGATGTTTGCCACACACCCGTTCCTTCTGCAGGTTCAGCTGCCCCTTATCCGACCATTCCCCTGGCAGTGGCTCTTCCCCCTGTCTCCCAAGGTCGTTCCTACACACCATTACACTTGGAGACTTTTAATGGGAAAGCAGGAGATGGAGATGGATAGATGGGAACCAGTCAAGCCAGAAGCTAGGAGACCATGAGTTCTAATCCTGCCTTAGGCACAAAGCCAGCTGGAGGGCTTTGGGACAGTTCCCCTGTCTCCACCCCAGGAAGAAGAAGACAAGGGCCAACTACTTCCAAAAATGCCGCCAGGAAAAATATAGGGCCTTGTACACAGAGTTGGGAACATCCAAGGTTGACTTGGAGGCATCTGACATATATGACAGCCAGTTTGGTCTTGTTGTGAAGGTGCTGGACCAGAAACTGGGAAAACATAAGTTCTAGTCCTGCCTTTAGTAGAAAAGCCTGTTGTGGCTTTGGACTCTTGGCCACTACATGGACAAGCCCTGCCTTTTTCAACAGACTTCAAGATTAATATCTCTGGACTTAAACCATAGTGGGTATAAAGAGGGCATGGTATCGTCATGATGACAGAGCTCAATTTTATTTTAGCGCTTCCTTCTAATAGGCAGTGAAGATTCTTCCCCAGCTGTGGCACATCCTCTGTCTCAGTGCTTTAAGCCTGGAGGGTAGTCAGACCAAGCCAAGTCGGGTTTCTGGGAAATTCTGCTGAGACCTGGCTAGTGAGCCTGACCACATCCAGAAAAGAGGAGTTCGTTCACTACTTCTCTGGATAACTGGTTCTACTGCCCAACTGCTCTGACAGTTAGGACATTTCTTCTCACCTCCTGCTTTTCTATGACTTAAGAGGTCACTGTGGAACAGCGGAAAAGAGGTCTTGCGTTTCTTCTGGGTGAACCCCCTTCAACACGCCCAGTACTTATTCCTCCTTTGCATTCTCCTCAAGCTCCTACTCAGTTCCTTCCATGCCTCCTTGCAGGGCTTTGCTTCTGTCCTCTTGAGGTGGTTCTTCAGGATGACTCACCAGGTGGTCTTCTTTTCTTTTCAGAGCCCTGTTCAAGACTCCGTCGGCTTTGGCCTTGAACCAGACCCAGCACTGTAAGCAGCTGGAAGGGCTGGTCGTATCTCAAGTGCAGCTGTGCCGCAGCAACCTGGAACTGATGCAGACCATTATTCAGGCTGCCCGGGAGGTGATCAAGACCTGCCACAAAGCCTTCGCCGACATGCGGTGGAATTGCTCCTCCATCGAGCGCGCTCCTCAGTACTTGCTTGACTTGGAGAGAGGTAAAGGGGAAAGGGAGGGATTTCTTCCCAAGATTTTGCGTGACCCGCTTCCTTGGTTAGCTCCCTGCTGGCTCTTTGCTGGTGCCACACCTGCATTCCCTCCCAATTGCGTTATAAAACATGAAGCAACTTTTGTTGTCCTTCAAGTTGGCTCACCAGATGGTCTTCTTCTCAGAACATCTCTGAGGGTAGACAGCAAAATAGCCACCCAGCGAGGTGATCCATTGTGTTCTTCCTATTTTATGAGCAACGTATTTATGAGCAACAAACATGCCCCCAGCCACAGCCACACACATCCCATATCCGTGTCGTACAAGGAGAAGTGGGGGTGCCCTTCTCCCCACTAACCAAGTGGACGAAAGAGAATTGGGAGATCCCCAAGAGGACTTTTGGGGGAGCATCTCAGCTCCATCTTCTATACTGCACACAGGTTGTGATGTCTGTGCTGGTCTCAGAGCAGGTTTTCACACCTTGTTCTGGCCTCTTACTTTTCCCTCTTACCTTTGAAAAAGGAAATAATAATAATAATAATAATAATAATAATAATAATAATAATAATATGTTCGACATGTTTATTGTTTTATACTTTTTTGCTGTGCGCTGCCCAGAGTCACTTCTTGTGAGATGGGTGGCCGTATACATTTGGTAAATAAGTAAATAAAATAAAATAAAATAAAATAAAATAAAGCTTTTTTATTAGCAGTGGCTGTACATTTAGGATAGATTGACCTTTCCTTTAGTTGGTTTCGGTTTAGTAGCTGTAAATGTTGCCAACTGATGCTTTTGTGTCTGTTCTTCAGCTCCCTTATCTAGTTCCGCCCTCTGGTCAGCTAATAATAGAAGGGGAAATACAGAGATTTGTGGGATTCAGAAAGAAAATAGCAGAAAGATATAGAGAATAGAATAAAGAATGAAGGTATACATTTCATGTCCATACTTACCTGGATGCTAACTGTAAAGATTAAAAAATATATATATTCACCATTTCAAGGAAAGGCTCACGTTCCCAACTGGACCCTGAACTTTGTATTTTTAAATTTAGTCTTCAAATTCCACAAACATTAAGACTTCTTTGCTTTTCAGCCACGTTGGCATCTTTAGATGTCTCCTGGTTTTCTTCTTGACTGGCATTGTTTGAGACAATGATGTCTCAAATCTCATTTAAGGATTAGCCTGTTTTGACTACTGCCACACATTCTACGTGGAGCATCCCTTGAAGAGTGTCCTGTCATTGCACACGATGCAGAAAAATACATCAGATTGCTAGCCAGAGCAATGTACAGGGATCACATCGTAGTGCCTTTCCTGAAAAATCTGCAGGGTTTATTTATTTATTGCATTCACATCCCACTGCAATCAAAACAATGGATTGCTAATGGCTTACGGGACACGCTCTGTTTTTCTCAACCTTCTCCATTTCCAGGCGGGTGGACTTCAACTCCCAGAATTCTCATCAATGGCCACGCTGGCTGTGGAATTCTGGGAGTTGAAGTCCACACACCTGGAAATGGAGACGGTTGGGAAACATGGGTGCTGGAATTGATTTCAAAGCTCGAAACAGCTTAGGGCCTGACTGCCAGAGGGGATTACTTCTCCCATAACTGTCTGGTTGTTAAATTATATAGGAAGGGAAGTTTTATCTTTTTGGACATGGAGAGATGGGCTTGCTCTGGTGTTGCTCCCAGGCTGTGGAACACACTTTTTGGGAGCTGTGTTTGGACCACCCTGCCCCACCTTGTTCAGAGTTTGCAAAGAGGTTTTTCCTTATTTTTATTGGTTAGATTTATATCCTTCCTTTCGTTCAGGAGTTCAAGGTAATGTGCGTCGTATTCCTTCCTCCCATTTTCCCCACAACAGCAACCCTGTGCGGTTGGCTGAGTTAGAGAAAGCGACTGATCCAAAGTCTTCCAAAAGCCTCTATTTTTAACTTTACATAACTTTTTTTTTAATTGTTAGCCAGCTGGAGTAGTTGCCAGAGCAGAAAGGCAGAGTATAAAGTGAAATAAATAAGTAAACGGGGAGAGAGCTCCCATCGTTTGGTGGTCCCCGAAATTGAAATGTTCGGAGTCCTGAACGATTGGCTTGTGTTTCCCCAAACAGCTGGATAGCCATCTGGATTTTGTGACATCTTGGCATGAGAGCTTAAATGTGACATGAGAATTTGGATACTTCTCCTGTTGGCCTGCTACAGCCTTTGGCATCTACGGTTGGGCAGAGAAGACGCTCGGTGGCAGCTGAGTTTGTTCCTTAAAATCGGCTCAACGGGAATTCTGGGAGCTATGACTCCCACTCATTTGCCAGATGTGCGAGAAAGGCCAGGAAACAGTTTTGAAAATCTCATCACTGGTGCCTGTCAAGCAATCAAGAAGCAACCGTAAAGATTAAAAAAAAATATAGTCCCCATTTCAAGGACAGGCTCACATCCCCAACTGGACCCTAAACTTTGCATTTTTAAATGTAGTCTTCAGATTCCACAAATATTAAGATTTCTCTGCTTTTCAACCATGTTGGCATCTTTAGATCTCTTCGGGGTTTCTTCTTGACTGGCATTGTTTGAGACTGCAGATTAAGTTTTTTTTCAAGAACCCCCAGCTGGCTACAACTCCTTTGCCTTTAAGGGTTTCTTCCCAGGGTATCTTCCTTGCTTTTTCTCTTAATTTTTTAAAAATTGGCCTTCCGAACATTTACGGTTCATGTGTTACTGTACCAATAGAAGCAAATATGGGCAACTCAGGGTTGACCTGTGGAGTCCTTGGAGTTCTCTGAGCTGGGTTGTTTTCTTGCAGACGTTTCATTACTTGGCTAGGGAACGTCTGAAGATGTGACCTAGCCGGGTCATGAAATGTTTGCAAGAAAACCACCAAGCTCAGAGAACCCCAAGGACTCCACATGTGTTACTGTTTTTACCAAACTGTTGGTTTAATTCAAAAATTCTAAACAATGTGTAGATGCTTGCACCCAAAGTTCCCATAACTTTAATACAGTGGGCCAATCAAGTCCTTCCCATTTAAAAAAAAGAAAATTATCCCCAGCAGAAGTCAATTTTTTCCTGACTTCTTCCAGCTGGCAGAACAGCTGGCAGTCTCCCCTCCTAGCCACATCCTGGTTTTTGGAAGGAACCTGAGATGGTCTCTTTCACAGGCCATCCTGGATGTAGCAAACCCCCATTTTTGAACTGCATCTTTAAAAAGGAGAGTAGAATAGTAATGTCATTGATCTTCTGAAGAAACTCCACACTGCTTCTTCATTTTCCTGTGATGAGATCTGCAGTCGGTCAGAAGTGGCAGGCTCAAAACGCCCATTTGGAAACCTGGCCTAGGATTTTTCTGGTGGAATGCATTCTGGTTAAGCTTCTCCGTTTAGAAGGTCTGCAGAATGACGCGTGGTGTTCTCGGTTTGCCTTCCAGGTACCAGGGATTCAGCTTTTGTGTACGCTCTCTCCGCCGCAGCCATCAGCCACACCATTGCAAGAGCCTGCA